AGAGAGAGACCAAAGAGACAGACCAGAAAGACTGACCAGAGTGAGACCACAGAGACCTACCAAAGAGAGAGACCTGAGAAACCAGGGAAAGAGACCAGAGAGAGACCAAAGAGAGAAAGACCAAAGAAATACCATAGAGAGGCCAGAGGGAGGCCAGAGGGAGACCAGCGAAAGACCGACCATAGAGAGAGTCCTCCTGGTCCTGGTCCTGCAGCCATGCTCCACCGAGAAGCGCAGCAGGTTTTACAGCGGTGTTTGTTTCCCTCAGCAAACACACAGGACGAGCAATTATCGAGCGGAAACGTCTAAAGCGCTCCATAAAGACGTGTGTTTCCACAGGCCGCACTGGTCAGGGCGCTCTGCCAGGTTTATGATGTTATTGTCAAATGTCTCTGTGGTAAGAGCCATGTGGGTTTGGGGCAGTCTCAAAATGACATCAGTCAGCCAGTGGACATTTATTCAACCAGGAAAGTCCCACTGAGATTTCTGATTATCTCTTTGTAGATGATTCTTGGCCCCAGAGAGAGCAGTGTATATTGTATATGATTTTACTGGTAGGGGAAACCGGAGGACACGGAGGAAACCTGCGCAGATTCAGGGAGAACATGGAGAGGTCTGGAATCATGTCTGAGTTGTTTTATCAGTCCTGGATCTACAGCCTCAGTCCTGGATCTACAGCCTCAGTCCTGGATCTATAGCCTCAGTCCTGGATCTACAGCCTCAGTCCTGGGTCTACTGCCTCAGTCCTGGATCTACAGCCTCAGTCCTGGATCTACAGCCTCAGTCCTGGATCTACAGCCTCCTGGATCTACAGCCTCAGTCCTGGATCCACAGCCTCAGTCCTGGTTCTACAGCCTCCTGGATCTACAGCCTCAGTCCTGGATCCACAGCCTCAGTCCTGGTTCTACAGCCTCAGTCCTGGATCCACAGCCTCAGTCCTGGATCCACAGCCTCAGTCCTGGATCCACAGCCTCAGTCCTGGATCCACAGCCTCAGTCCTGGATCCACAGCCTCAGTCCTGGATCTACAGCCCCAGTCCTGGATCTAAGTAAGTAAGTAATCTTTATTTATATACCGCCTATCACAGACCAGAGTCACATTTCCTATGTTGTTTGATTCTCTGATCTGTTGTTGGGGAATAGACAAATAGTTTAATCATAATTGTACAGCTAGTTTCAATAGAAGTCATCCAAACACATAACTCATGAGCGAGAGGGGAATCCTTTTACTTTCTGCACAGACATAAAATTCATAAAACATTTGCCGTTTCCAAGAAGAATACAATACCAAAAAGATGCACTTGGCAGAAAACAGAATATATATTTTTACAGCTCCTATATTCTCTGTACAGGGCATGCCTGGAACTGCATTCAGGTACATTCAAGATCTCCGCCTCCAACACCAAAGAAAATTGTGCTTTTTGAGAAATCTCTAACAACAGTCCAGCCTCGGGTCTGGTCCAGAGCCCACGTTTAGGTCACCTTGAGAGAGGAGAGCAGATCTACAGCCTCAGTCCTGTTTCTGTCTTGTTCTATCTAGTCCTACACAGCTCTAGAGAGAACACTTATTGTAGTATGTGTACTGGTCCAGAAGCCATAATTTTGAAGTCTACTTGCTGCTACAAAGCCTTCACAACAAAAGAATCATCATTCATCTGCCTGTTCATGATCTGCGAGAATTTGTCCAAAGCTGTTTCTGTTTGTTTGAACGATCTGGTTTGGATAGCAGTACTTGCTTATAGTTATAGTTATCTTCTCTACTCCAACTGGTTTCCATTAAACGTCAGGATCTGGTACTGTATCCTAGCAACCGACCCACAACAAACCAGTATCCAGGGAAATGATAACTAGGTAACCATGGTTTCCAGCAGCACTCTGGCCAATCACTGTCAGTTAGAACCAGTGGGGGCGGGTCCAGGCTCAAAAAGGTCCATGAGCTTGAGCACATGCACTGACATGCTTGCTATACCACTCTAAGCCGGTGGGGGTGGACCCAGAAAGAGAATTATCCAATGCTTTTGAATGGCGTCGTTTTACCTTCTAAAGCCTAGTGTATAGTCGCGCGGAGCTTACGGAGGTGAAGTGACGTCACTTGCGCAACGCGTGGATCACCGCAAGATCACCTTACGTAGCCTACCACGCACCCTCAAAAATTTATAACTGCGCAGCCGCCTCTGTAAGGAAGCTCCGCTGTGATTGGTTCGTGTGTGATTTCTTTCACACTTCGGAGCAGACTGCTTTGTGCTTCAAAGGAAACGAAGGAAAAGCAGGTTGGGCTCATGGCAGAGCCTGATATACGCGGAGACTGTGGACTAGAGTTCTGTTGCATATCCAACATATAAATAACTTATAAACGTCATTTGTTTTGCACTGTTCCTGTCTTTGTTTGAATCTGCACTGGTACCTTATCGCGTCTGTTGCATTCCTCCTGCACTTGTCTCAGATATTTACCACTTATTGTTTTGCTGTTTGTGCTGGATAAAATAATAATAACTGTTTCCAATAAGAACTGTGTCTTTATTCACAGCATCACCGTTAAATGAGTTGAAACAATGAGTCCATAGAACTATCACATAAACCTACAGTAGAAACACATGTAATGATCTCAAACAGCTCGGTTTGCTCATGTTTTTGTTCTGAAGAGAGGAAAGTTGCAGCGTAAATGGGACCCAGGCAACTCCTGTGAGATCGCCATCATGTGGTTGGTTGTGGGATTACAACATTCTTTTCAAAACTCCTTAAGGGGAATGTGCGAGTGTACCACCAACTGTGGTTACGTAGGTCCAACGTAACCGTAACCAGCACTGCGCGAGTGTACACAGGCCTTTACCGCTCTTGGCCCGACCAGATGTATGTCAATGCTGAGGGGAGTATTTGTTTTAGCTGCTATGGACTTTTGAAGACACGCGTCAAATGAATGGGACTCATGCCGGCTAATGAATGCGCAAATGAGTTTCTTTCAACATTTTTTGCAACTGCCCACAGAAGGCAAAAACGGTGGCACATTCGTTTCAAAGGCGGAGATAGGCGTGACTACGTCCGTTAATATTTACAGTCTGTGGTTAGAACACTATAGTAGCTCGGCCTGAATAGAACCAAGGGCAAGTACATTTTAAATCAATATCAATGAACATTTATAGTATTAGAAATTCATTTGTTAATTGTAGCCTATGCCATTTTAGAAAAAAACATTTAATGTATTTGTGGTTGTCTTTTTGTGTGAGGTAAGTTTGTTTTGGGCGTTCCCCTTCCCAGGAACTACAGATGGAAAATAGCTGTAGCTAAATCTGGTGCAAATCATCTCTTGTTTTGTAAAGACTAAGGGTTTTGTAAATTGTTCTATAGACAATAAACTAAACTAAGAGTTTAAAGAACGACTAAAGAACAGGGCCAGTGGAAGCACTCCCAATCGGGGGAGAGTATAGAATAGTCATGTAGGGCTGGTGGAAATGGCGCTTATGATAGTAGATCATCACAGATTACTGGTACGATGATTAAAGTACTAAAATAAACCCTTTCAAAGCCTGTTTCCATGACGGCGACAATCAGGAGAGTTTATATTTGAGCCAAAACATTCCTCAGAGCAAATTCCTGCTTTGGAAAATTCAGGCGGATTTTAAATAACTTGCATAACATACATCAAGTTCCCTTTGCGATGTTCTTTGTCTTTGTTCTCTCGGTAAACAGCCGTAAATCCCGGTCCTCCCAAAGTGAGCTCTCTGCAGCTGGTTCTGCTTTCTGCCGCCGTAAATCCAGCTCTGTGTCAACTTTAAACAAAAGAGACTTCTCCAGATAATCGACAAGTGGAACGTGTCCCGGATTGTTTTTACTGTTTTAACTTAAGCCCAAGCACAACATGTAAAGTCAGTAAAGTAAAAGTGTAGACAGTATTCTATAGACTGTATACAGAGGGACAATGCTAACCCGCTAGCTCAACAAAGCTCAATAAGGAAGTGGACAAGTGTTGCTCCAACATGTTGACTTACATGTAAAAGTACAGTCCTCTAGCTCAGAAACAGTTTTTGTCAAAATCACCATTTTGGGCTTTAAAAAATATGATTGAATGCGGTCTTTGATCCTGGTGGTTATACTATATCTACTGTAGGGACATTGAAAATTAGCCTTGGCTATAAATGTTGTAGTGTTTCACATGTTGATTGTGCACACTTTTCCCCGTCAAATAAATCAATAAATAAAAATAAAATATGAAAATATTGTTATATTGTCTTTGCAAATACATATCAATATAGAGGTTGACCAATCAGGAGCTTTCACTCGCCTTAGCAACTGTCTTGGCAACACATCTGCCCCTGTTACGACGCAAAGCTAATGCTGCAGAAGAAATTCCCATAAAAGGGAATTAGCTCCAGCTAGCTTATGTTCAGATCTGCTTCTTCTGCATTAAGGCTGACGTTTTGGTGATGTCACACTCAGTCAGTCCACTCCTAATATATGAAACATTATTTTAAAATAGTTACAAGTTCTATGTATTTTGATCCTCACTGAGATAAATGCTCGTATATGAAAGTTATTTCTTTATGAAAATATATGACCCCTCTCTCTTTAATGCAAGAGTCAGCACAAGATTTAAAAATGCTTTCAGGCCAAGATTTTGGTCCTGAGACACAAAACCTGATCTAAAAATTTAAGACTTCATGAGAGCTCCCATTCAATCTCTCATTCACTTGATCAAAAATAAAATGTAAAACAAAAAAACTGATTTTTGGGCTGATCAGAAGGCAGATAAACATGAGTTTGCGAGACCAGACCAGGGCTGTTTCTTTTACAGCAGGTTCAAACTTCTTACACTTATTTTGCACAGTTTGGCTTAAGTCCCTCTCATTCAGTCACGTCTCGGGGTTCAGAAGTGTTCCCCAAATATACAAAACATATCAAGATAGCTCAGAACGTTGCCCAATCCCTGAATGTGTCAACAGTCTGTTAAAGGCGCAAACCCTCTTCCTGTCCCTGAATTTCTCCAAAAGTGTCCAGGATGTTTGCTCAGTAGGTAGAGAGGTCGGTGTCACTCAACTCCTCCGCGGTGGCCTTCTCGGGGATGGCCTCCAGGCTCCGGCGGGCTTTGCCTTCTCCGGACTGGGACCCTCCTTTGGTCAGGCTGCAGGTCAGAGCGGCGTAGTGGATCTGCTTCAGGTTCTCCTGGACTTCGCTCCTGGCGTGTTTGAGGAGGTCGGCCTGGCCCTGGAGGAACGACGGCAGAGTTTTAGAGCTGCGTGAAGGTAAACAATATGCGATGTCTATAATCCAGGCTCAAGTTTCTCAAATCTCACTGCTGTTCTGTCGTCGTTGGACATTGAAAAAACATTACAAACCACTGTAAATGGTTCATGTAACATTCGCTCCGAGTCCTATAGACTTACACGGACAAGTGAACTCCTCTAGCTCAGTAAGTAGTCACACTCTAACCCCAACCCTAATCCAGGTATGAGCGATATAAGATTTGACCAATCAGATGCCTTCATATGTGGGGGAAACTGCCTTAGCAACCATCTTAGCAACAATTCTGCCCCTGGTACAGCACCAAGCTATTTCAGTCGGAACAAATGCCCCTATAAGGAAATTGGCTCCAGCTAGCTTATGTTCAAATTGGCTTCCTACACATTAAGGCATCTGGCCCAGGGGCCAGATTCGGACCTCAAATTAATCATCTTGGACCCCGGGAACATATTTTATAATCATTAGAACCGGCCCGCACAGAGCCATACAAAAATATTGTATTCATTTAATCATTAAATAAGATTCGGTACACTGTATTCGGTCTTGGTTCAATAGGTTTTAATAAACATCGCACCAGTCCGGCCCTTGGCTTGTAGTACATTTTGGCCCTCAGATGTATTTGACTTTGACATCCCTGCATTAACAACGCTGTGGTGATGTCACACTCTCTGCTCTGTGTTCTGACCTTGAGGATGGTGATGTTCCAGGTGAAGCTCTCCACGGCCTTGTGCAGCTTGCGTCCCTTCAGTCCTTCCTTCACTGCCAGATCGTGGAGGTTTTCATGGAACTGCATCGCTAACGACACACAGATTCCAAATGTCATTATTTACAAACAGCCTAACGGTGTTAATCTTACATAAACAGAATATGATGTCCTTAACTCTTTAAGGATCACGCTCCCTGTACAGGGAGGATTCAGATGTTTCATTTAATTCACTTAAATGAATTCACTTGTATCAAGCTATATCTCTTTTGAAAGCTTCTTCCCACTCCTAAACACATATTATGTTCAAATAAACATTCGAAGTGTAACTGTATATATATACAAAATATATATTGTCCTTTCTTATCTTTTCATGTTACTATTCTGTGGCAAATCACATCTAATCCACACATGTGTACATTTTTTTTGTCCATGAGGGTCTAGAGAATAATTGTATCCAGTTGTTTATTCTTTAAAGTCATCCTTATATAGATATCCACTTGTAACAACACATTTGAGTATTGAAAGTTGCAAAAACAAAAACAAAACCTGTTCTTTGCGCACTGTATGAAGAGGACATGGTACTATTTCCCTTGCGTCACTGGTTATGTTGGTCTTCCTCTCAGCCTTCCTTTCAAAACAAGCTCATTCCCGGACTTTTCAGTGCTTTGGTTTGGGTGGTAGAGCAAGGTGACAAAAACAAGTGCACCAAGCTTCAGCGCTCCAGTCATTTACATATTTGTGCGTCACGACAGCATTGTCTTGATTACCATTGGCCGATTTGGATTTCAATCAAATAATCTTGTAGCCAATCTCAGGTTTCAGGTGATGTGTCGGACTTCAAGGTTCCTTCCACTATATACTGTGTATATATATAAAAAATAAAAAAAACAGCCATGACATCGGGATGTCATTCGGACTCGAGAACTGTAGCAGGATGGTGACTCGGAGAGGCAAGGTAGTCCACACAGAAGGGATCTCACTCCCAGAGGGAACAACAGCAGACGTTGAGGACAGTTACCATTATCTCGGTATACCACAGGCAAATGGCAACCTCGAACAGGTGACGAGGAAAGCAGCAACTGCCAAATACCTCCAGCGAGTAAGGCAGGTCCTAAGAAGCCGGCTCAATGGCAAGAACAAGGCCCGGGCAATTAACAGCTACGCCCTGCCAGTGATCAGAGACCCTGCAGGAATAATCAGGTGCCAAAGGAAGAGATTCAGACCACGGATGTTAAAACTCAAAAGCTCCTTACCATGCATGGCGGGTTCCATCCCAAATCCAGCACCCTGAGACTGTACGTAAGCCGTAAAGAAGGAGGCCGAGGACTAGTGAGTGTGAGAGCCACTGTCCAGGACCAAACATCCAAACTCCATAACTACATCATGGAGAAGGCCAAAACGGATGACGTACTCAGTGAATGTCTCAGGCAGTGGCGAGATGAGGAGGTGCTGGAGGAGAGCCCATCATGGGAGAACAAGCCCCTACACGGCATGTACCACCGGAGCATAACAGAAGTGGCTGATCTCAAGAAGTCCTACCAATGGCTAGAAAGGGCTGGCCTACAGGACAGCACAGAGGCACTCATCATGGCTGCACAGGAGCAGGCCCTGAGCACCAGAGCGATAGAGGCCCAGATATACCACACCAGACAAGACCCAAGGTGTCGGTTGTGCAAAGAGGCACCTGAGACGATCCAACACATAACTGCAGGGTGCAAGATGCTGGCAGGGAAGGCCTACATGGAACGCCATAACCAAGTGGCTGGCATAGTGTACAGAAACATCTGTGCAGAGTATGGGCTGGAAACCCCAAGGTCTAAGAAACTCCTCCAAAGGTGGTGGAAAATGAGCGTGCAAAGATCCTGTGGGACTTCCAGATACAGACCGACCGAATGGTAATGGCAAACCAACCTGACATCGTGGTGGTAGACAAAGGGCAGAGGACAGCCGTGGTGGTGGACGTGGCAATTCCAAGCGATGGTAACATCCGGAAAAAAGAACATCATGAAAAGCTTGAGAAATACCAAGGTCTCAGAGAGGAGCTGGAGAGGGCCTGGAGGGTAAAGGTCACAGTAGTGAGAGGGCCTGGAGGGTAAAGGTGACAGTAGTGAGAGGGCCTGGAGGGTAAAGGTCACAGTAGTGCCCGTGGTGATGGTGCACTCGGGGCAGTGACCCCGAAGCTAGAAGAGGTTACAGCGGATCCCTGGAACAACCTCGGACATCTGGGTCCAGAAATGTGCAGTGCTAGGAACAGCAAAGATACTGCGCAGAACCCTCAAGCTCCCAGGCCTCTGGTAGAGGACCCGAGCTTAGAGAGGGATAACCGCCCGCGGAGGGCCAAAGGTGTGTGTGTGTTTTTTTTTTTGTAATCTAAATAATTAATATCTTTTCTGCAAACATTGTAATATCTGGAAACAAATCCTATTTATAGCAAGATCCATAGCCAAAAAAATATATTATTTGATTTTTAGTGTAATAACATTGATATTGCATCTAAACACTTTGGCACAAAAATAAAGCCAAATGTGCCCATCAGTTACAAAAAGCCCCCAGCATAAAAATGGTTCCACCTAAAGGTCTACAATTTCATACAGGTGTTGCCAACACCACAGAAATCTGCTCTGTTGAGTTTGAACAACATACCATAAAGTATGTCTTCGGGAGAACCATTTGAAATTGCCTTATTTATTTTTTCAAGACAAATAAAACTAACTTTGACTCATGTTTGAGAAGGTGTAGCACAGACTGTGTCCTTCCTAACAAACTGTAAAATACATTTCTAGAAATTAAAAGGTGTTACAGGGACGAGAGTAGCTCAGTTGGTAGAGCACTGGCCTTTAGGCCTGAAGGTCGTGGGTTCAAGCCCACCATAAGACCTACTTCACAACTCCCACTGATGACTGCTGTCGTTGTGTCCTTGGGCAAGACACTTAACCCCACTTTGCCTGAAGCTCCTGCTGAAAGATCTCAGCTCCTGTGGACTCACCACCTGCAGGAGGATCAGTGAGGGTCTGGTGCTCTGTGAACTGGGTGCAGGTCTGACTGCCACCCCCCTGACCCAGAAATGGATTAAGGGGAAGAAAATGGATGGATGGATAAAAGGTGTTACCTTTCAAATGAGGCCTCATAACAAAACATCGGACACAAGATGTGCACACAATAAGTTTCCATTTGGATATCATAATTCGAGAAGGAACAGGCGAAATTAGGTGATCCTTAAAGAGATTGAACATACATAGGAACATACACAGGTCAGTGGTCTCTGAACTTTAGTTCGGAAGGTACCAGTAGCTGGCCACCCTCTTTAAGGTAGCTCTCCAAAGGATTTCGAATTGAGAATGTATTATTCCGGTTTCACCACTTGCGTATTAACTATTATAAATGTAAACTTACTTTGTGCAGTAGTAGCACATATGTGATGATAAATATGGACTTGATAGTAGATATAATTGTGAGAAGGAGCCTGAAATCTGGTAATGTCACACATTTTTCACAGGACTGCTTAAGGGAGTAGCTCTCCTCCATTTTTGATGCAAAAAAGTCGCTCGCCAGGGGGAAAAGGTTGGAGACCCCTGATATAGGTGATATGCTTCCTGAGATCTGAGGGACTCCTTCTTCCAGTCAGACGGTTTTCAGAGGCTCAGTTCTGACAGCAGATCAGCTGCACAGAGGCTTTGTTCTTTCACCACAGAGAACTCTCAATAAATCAGATTACAGAGCGATAACAGCACATACAGTGTGTGTTGTGGACTTTGTGTGTAGGAGGAGAAGACAGATTTGGGATGGAAGCAATGCACCATTTCAATGCTCCATTAGAATGACAGCTATGTGGAACAAAGCACTCTATAAATTAGAAATGCACATTATTCTCTCTAGATACTTTATTGATCCCCGAAAGAGAAATTCAGGTGTCCAGCAGAAGACAACACATCCATATAAACACATAAGTACATCAATTATAAACGTTACTAACTAACTAACAAGCAACAGTGCACCATTTTAACTCATCCAGGTCTGTTGTACAGTCTGACAGCAGAAGGAACAAAGGATCTCTTGAAACGTTCCGTTTGGCAGCGCAGCTCCCACAGAGTCCACATTTCTCCCCATCACAGAAACACATTTCCTGATCAGCCTGTCGACCTGGTTACTGTCTCTCGAGGTCAGACCGCCACCCCAAAGAACATCTGACTGCTCACATCAAAGGGCCTCAGTCTTCTCTGGGAGAAGAGTCTTTCTTAGAGACAGCATTGGCCTGAGCTGACCAGTACAGTCTATGGTCCATGTGGACCAAAAGTTAAATATATGGTGAAATAACAGTCCTGTCCTGCTCAGCCCCTACCCTCCTGTGCAGATTCAGATTCTCTGATCTGTTGTAGGTGAATCGACAACTTTGTAAAGTCCTCCAAGACGACTGCGAAACCTGCTCAATGACGTTCAAAAGGAAAGTGCTCCTGATTAGGTTTTTCTCCAATTCTAGCTCTTATTGGCTTGCATGTAAAAGTAAACTCCTCTAGCTCGGTGACCCTTAGTGTCACACTCACCATTTGGGGCTTAAATCCATAGTGTAGCACTATCTGTGATCCTGGTGTTTACATTGCGATGTTGTCTTTGTAAATCCAGATATGATTGACCAATCAGATGCCTTCATTCACTTGGGAAACTCCAACAAGCCTTAGCAAGTGTTTTAGCAACACGTCTGCCCCTGTTACATGAAGCTAACGTCATCATACAAAGAAACAGTCTGCAGTGAACTTGCGTTCAAATCAACCTCTCCCGCATTAAGGCTAACACTATGCTAATGTCACACTCGCTCAGTCAATGGGAACACACAGTATAGTGCAGCACTTCATAATGTCTTTGTTGAAACCTGTGAGAGACCACTTCCTCCCTGAGACCAGAATGACCCGTATTTATCTTTTAAATCATGTCATTATTGTCAGCTGATTTCACAGTGGAGGGCCGTGTGAGTGGGAGTGCAGAGAGGGACCCTCCCCCAGCTGCTGAGGAGCCTTTAGGAGCCTTCAGCTAGAGGGAGGGGGGGACTGCTCTCTGCACAGGCCTCTCTTCAGCAAAACCCATCTGAAGCCGT